TAAATGAACATTAACTTGAAAATAATAAAAGTGAAGTAGCTGTAGGACGCCTTGCCTCGAATTTCATGGCATAATAAATGGCTCGCAGACCGATGCGAAAACTTTTCCTCCTCGCCGAGTGATGAAGTAATGAAAGCGCTGAAAGAAAAATTACAATTCACGAGCGCAGCGCAGTTATGAACTTTTTCACGGTGCTAAATAATGCACACGAAAGTGCTCAGCCAGTCAGGGGTTAAGACGAGGGGAAGCGAACGGGTGGCAGTTCTTCATTAACTCCTCCAGTGACGCCAGATGATGATGATGAATTTTGTATAAAATGCTTAAATACCTGCAATTTAACTTTTGTCGGGTGTCGTCCATCTTCTCCTGCCCCGCGGCTTAACCCCAAAGGGGGGAAGGGGGTCAAAAAGGAGTCAGTCTCGCCCAGGACATTTCAATATGCAGCGCCGCTTGTTTTCTTTAATTTAAATTGACTTCTCTGGGGAAGGACCGGGCGATCCCAGCGGATTTTTTACAGCCAGCCTGTCGGGTCAGAAACTAATCAAAAAGCTATGAAAACTTTTCATGAAGTGGGTAAAATTGGTGAGACTAAGTTTTAAAGGTTATTTGGAAGAGATAGTAAAAGAGGTTGTGACAACTCCACTCTCTTAAGTTTTAAATATTTAACCAATACATTCCTTGTAAAAGTATATTATTTTGTTTAAAATCTAATTTCTACTTGATTTTTCCTTTTCCTAAAACATAATAATTAAATATATTTTAAATTTAATTTTTTCATTGCGTGTGATCTACAAGTACATCAAACTTATGATAATAAATATGTATCTCATAATTTAAATGAATAGGAAGCCACTTTACCTTGAATATACAAAAAACACAAGACTACTTACCAGCTTAAATTAATTATAGCTTCCAGACGTTAAAATACATTTATTCATATCTTCCAGCTACTTGCTTTAAAGTTCAATATAATTTCCGAGCTGCACTTTACAGCAACTGTCACTGGAATTGTGCATACAAGTACACATAATTAATTAAGGAGCTGACATATTCCGCCTCTGGCCACCCGAATCCCGACAAAGCCCCTCATTGTCCTTTTCTTCGCGCAGCCATCATCATTCTTTCCCATCCTTTACTAACTGAAATGTCAAAAATGCAAGTGACAAGTGTGAAAAAAGGACGAGCTGAAGAAAAACAAAAGCCAAATGAGGACACACATGGCCGACGGGGTTGTGGTGGCTTTTCCGGCTGGCAGGGGTTTCCACTTTCTGAGTAAATGTCCTTTCGCCATTGTCTGCTTGAAGACGCAGCGCGTTCGTGCAAAGCAAAATAAATTGAAATTTTAAAATGTATGAAATTAATTTTTGGCGTCGGTGACTGGGCTAAAAAGTTCTCTCGAACGCCTCAGATGATATCACATGATTATTTATCTTTTACGCACACTTACACATCGCCCCACACATATGCAAAGGACGTGCGTCCTTCTCCACTTTTCACTTTCCACTTTCCAAGTCGTGTGTCCTGGGCCTGACACTTGCCAACACACTTTGTCAAGTTTTTAGTATGTTGTCAGCGATTTTCCCCCCTTCCCCTTCGCTATCACTTGCCTTTTTGTCTTAGCACTTTTAAGCCATTTGTCAAACACTTGGCATGACGTCATGTGTGGGTGTGGTCGCAGGGGGAGTTTTTCGGAGATATCTTGGGGTATTTACAGCTCCGATTTGGGCGGTTAGCTGTCTCCGGTGTTGTGCGAAAATTTACATATAGATTAGCAGCAGCCCAGACTCACAAAACGGACACTTGATGTGCATCTCCAATGCACTTTGTGCGGCCCTCAACCGATTTTGACGACGATGATGATGTCTGCGATGCATAAGTGGAAATCATTAAGTGCCGGCCGCATCTTGTAAACCGGTGCGTAATCCTGCATACCATACCAAACCGAACAAAACACTGCGAAAAATAAAATTAAAAAAAAAAGTGATACAATTTTCTTTCTGTTTTAGAAAAAGTATAAAGTGTTTCTTAGAAATTTTATTGTAAGTCGTTAATATTATATTTAAATTTCTATAACAATAAGTAATTACATGAACCTTTGAGAAGCAATTTAAATTATAATATTTTATTCAAACTACATACACAAATGTATAAAATATAATTATTGTTATTTTTTTTTTTTTCATTTTATTACCCAACTTAGTTTCCAAAACGCAAATAAAAACTTTAATAAATAAAAGTGTAGTATTTTTTCGTGTGCACGGTCAACTGTTTACAGAACAGCACTGGCAGCTCTGCATTGTTGCCACTTCCGTTCGGTTTCTCTCTCTGGAGCTCATTGTCCATGGGTTGGAAATCCCCTGACAACACTTTGGCCCTTTCACAATGTGCAAAAAGAAAATTTCTGCGAGCAATCCTTGAACAATGCCTGAAATAATTGCACAGACCGGACTGCAGAGCCTGGCTGAAAGGGAAGAGTGGAGTGGGGAGGTCCTTGCAGGGAGACATAATGATGGGCCGCTGGATATTGGCCAATGATGGGCATTAAAACGCGTATGATGAGGCTTAAGTAGTTACACACACACACATCGCACATCGCACAATTGGAACTCTTTAGGTATGCGTCCTGGAAAAGAACCCGTTGGGGTTTAAGTGGTGCTAACATATTGTCCATACATGCATGTCCATTGGTTAGGGGAGGACTTCCTCCGAGATGATGTTTCTTTGCCATGATTACTGTGACTGCATATTGCTAAATGAGAGTCTGCAGCAGAAATTATAAATATTGTTACGGCAAGGGGAAAATCAGTTCACGGCTGATGGGCAAGGTGAATGTGGAATTAATGTATTACCATCTGTCGTAAAAACCCGTAGGGGAAAACATAACGGAATATGTAAGGTTGATTAACCTGTAGCTTAATGGCTTTATTTGCTTTTTTTCCACGGGAGATACTAAAAGGTAAAACAAATTGAAATTACTGTTTTCATATTTTAATTTCACTATTAGTTGAACACATTTATTTCTTTACTCAAAACTAATGGAATGTTTAGCACCAACGAATTACTCACCCAACCATTAATTTTATGCTAACTTTCACAGTCTCTACAAGTTGGGCAAATCGATATCCAGAGACCTTGAGCTTGACATTTATATATACAACAGACTGAAAAGAGCACGTGCTCTCAACTGTGTCAAGAAAGCTCACCCACTGCCACCCACACTTTCTTTGGAGGAGCCGGCTTCCCTAAACCAAATTCATTGTCAAGGTCGCACGCACAAATTTGAAGGGAAAAAGCTGAAAGTGGGTGGAAATGCCGGCCGGCGTGGCCTTGGGTCCAATTGAGTGGGAAAAAAGCTTTTGCCGGTAGGAGACTTGTGGAACAGCACCCACAAATGGCGGCCCCTTGGCCTTGACGATGGCCTTGAAACTCTATAACTGCTCCCTCAGCAAAAATGTAACATGGGGAGAGGAAATAAGCTCAATTGCCATTCTGCTTCCTGCTCTCTAGGAATCTTTTTCTAAAATGTTAAAATGCTACAGCTTGTGTGACATTTATCGAGCATGGGCTACAAAGAAAAGTTGAAAGAGGGGTTAAAGTTATTAATAATGGTATTTAATTATATAACCAGTTATCATTTTAATTCGAACATATAATTATATACTTATGTTTAGTTGTGACTCCACAGTAAAAGATTAATTAGATTAATTATGAAAAGGTACTCTAAATGACACTTAATCAAGGAGTATAATTTTCACTTAATTGTGTTTTTCAGTTTTCCTATCCCCCTTAACTTCGCTACTGCTTTCTCGAACTTGCAGTTTTCCAGGAACAGCTTATCATAATGGATGAGCTGCAGCTAACTGAGGAAAAAAGGGGAGCTGGAAACAAATATTCTCCAAGGATAAACATGTCGTCAGCGGAAAATGTTTGCGGGAGTTGGAAATGATTTGACTTGAAGGTCAATCCATTTGTGTGGCTCGTGCGTTGGTCAAGTTTAAGGTTGCTATGGGGGAAACCGTCAAGGACTTGTTTCGATTCAGCATTAAGGACTTCTTTTGTAACCGTTTTTTGGGTTGAAGGAAGTTTGTCTTGAAAGCAGGTTAAACAGTGTATATGTTGACATTAAATGCATTGCCGGACTGCTGCTTTTTTAAAGTATGCATTGAAAACCTTGTCTTAAGAAACTATAGATTGTGGATTGTGCAAATCAGTCTCATTTAATATATAAAGCAACAGAATTAAATTAATAAATCCTTTAGATGTTAATATAAGTTATATAAGTTATTTTCCGACATCATATCTCTAATATTTTTAAATACGATTATAGCTCAAAAAAATGATTTTGATTCCTCGATTAGAACGAATATTTCACATTAAATCAGTTTCTATGCAAACCAGAAATTCCCAGTCAAACAATTGTTGATTCATCCGCTAGAAATCCCATAGGAAAATGTTTCCGAACCAAATTCGAACTTCGAAATAAGAACCATGGGTCGAACTTCCCCTTAAAATGTATGGGCTCCGCTAGACCAAGTAGGTCGAAGTAAACCCCTGAAAGTCGAACAAAATTCGAAACCGCCCCTCGAAAAGTGAGCGTTCAATGAGCTTACGTTTCGTTTGACGTAACGGTGCTACGTAAAGTGCTTTTCCCCAATTTCGCTCTCATTTCCCGACTCTCTCTCGTATTCTAAGCCACTTTCCCACCCCATTTTCCGATCCGAAGTAAAGGTAACAAAGGCAGCGGTGTTTTTGGGGTGGCAAACTGGCGGTGGTGGTGGCACTTTGTCGGTGGTGTGAGTTCCTGTGGTTGGTGGTTCAATTGGTTGGTTGTTGGCATAAACAAAGCACACACACAATACACACACACTTCCTGGGGGGGTGGTGGAAATCGGGAGGGTGACATTTACCGCGAGAGAGAAGCCCCGCTTCCTACAGGAAAAGAGAGAGCGATTTTATAAATGTGACTGCAGCAAGGATATTTGCAGTCAGTCCTCGATGAAACCTCGAACAGAGAACATTGAATAACAAGCGGAAGCGAAAAGCGCATAGCCAGAAAAGTTCGTCAAAAGCGACAAGTTTTCATTGTACGTTTTCCCGCCAAATGAGTCAGAAAATTTTCACAAGTGCTCGATACGAAAAATAAAGACTTGAAAAAACTCAAAAGTGCAAGCAGTGAATATAATAAAATATTCTGAGATTTTTATAAAAAAAGACTAAAAATATATACGAAAGTTATATATTTTTTTAAGCAATACAAAAATATAAATATTATACGTGTATAAAAAAACAAATCGCAATGGCCATTGCCTACTTCATACCCGACCAGGCCCAATTGTTGGCCCGAAGCTACCAGCAAAATGGACAGCAGGCAGCCACGAGTCCGAGGTCATCTGCAACACCTGCTGCAACTCCGCCGCAACCGCAACAGGCGCAGCAGCAGCATCGGCAGCAGCAGCAGCAGCAACAACATCGCCCACAATTTCGTGCCAACATCTCCGTGCCGCTGGGAAGTCAACAGGGATCGATGTCCATGTCGGAGTTTGGATGCTGGGATCTCCTCGCCCAGATCTTCTGCTACGCGCTGAGAATCTACAGCTACAACTCCAGCCACCGACGACCCACAGTCATCCAAATATCCTTCGAGATCAGCAGCGGAAGTCAGGATAACGAGGAAGATGATGTCACAGATGCAACGTCGAAGGAGAATTAAATTTGGTTTACGTTTTTCATCCGGGTGGAGAGAAAATCTTTTCGATTTTCTGGGAAAGGCAGGCTCAATCAAAGCGCATTGTGATTTCTTTTTTGGGAACGAGGAACGAGTTTTGTAATAAAATGGGATATTTCCACATCAAAATAAGAAGAATATTTTTTAAACTATTTTTGGAAGAGAGAGAAAAAAATTCAAAATTTGTCATCGATTTGCTTAAAGTGATATTGATTGTTTGTTACTTTTATAAGGTGTCAAATTTTTCGAATTCAGTTTGAGAAAAATGTTTAATTTTGCAAGCAAAGGTTTCCCGGTTGGTTCAAACACCTATAATTTTAGTTTATTTTGAGAGCAGCAAGCAGATACTTCAGATGTGTATACTTATCGTAAACCTAATTAGTGTCTATACATATGGGTAAAACCACAAGTATCGTATTCAACAAAGAACTAATTGTCAAATTTTTGCATTTTAACTACTTACATATATAAAACCTAACAAAGTCAGATATAGAACACAGAACCAACAAAGATGCAACAGCAGCAACAAGAACAACAAAAGACAACAACTCAATTGTACAAAATAGATATTAAGCAAACAGCTAATTTTATATGTTTACAAAAAATAAAGAAAGCAAAACTGCAAAATATCTACAATCCAGCTACAAAAAAATATAAAACTAAAAAACCGCCGAGCAGTAAAAAAATTGTAAACCAAAATAAAACAAGCAACAAACTTAAGCAATTTTGATACGAATAATCAAGAACAACAAAATCGAAATGTATTTTACCATTATTATTGATTTTAGCAAAATTAAAAAAATATATATTTTCCTTTTGGCATTGCAAATTAAACGAAAAAAAATATTTAAATTAATCGAATGTAAAAAATTAGAGTTTGTAAGCAATTAACATTTTTATAAAATACAAGCAAAAAATAAATACAATTTTATAAAAAAAAATAAAACCTTTTTTGTGTTATTATTGTAGCTTTTAAGGAGAGCCAGAATTCGATTTATCAATTATCGAAACGTGTTAAATAATTATTTTGTTTCCTTCAAAACAAACTTAAAATGTTACCATTTGTTTCGCTTATTAACAAAGTAATGTTAATATTAAACTTTCTAATTTTTCGTCCACTTTAAAGATTATGCTGAAAATACGTCTAAATAATACATTTAAGTTCCCTAAAGTTACACAGTTTAAAATTAACTTTAAAGGAAGTACTTAAAGTCCTATATAAGGATAAAATCCTTGAACACAACCACTATTTTTCTATGTTCTTTACCCCCTCATAACCTTTTTGGGCAACGAAATGGCAAAGGACAACTATTCAGCCAGGAAAAAGGAGGAGTAGGCAAACATTTAGCGATCCTTATCGCGAATACCAATATGTCACCTTAAAAGGGAAAACCATTTTTGGTGGGACGCAGACAGGCTGAGACTTTTCCCGTCGCGTCATGCCAGGCACACTCCGCCCAAAAGGGTTAAAAAGCAAAGGTTACGCTTAACCGCAGATCTCAGTCTGCGCCGCCAATGTCCAAGTCATCGGGGTCAAAGGGAACGGGGGGTGTACCCTTTAACCAACCCGGAAACCCATTTAACCCCAGAGTGAAAAAGTGTAACATCTGTGGCAGCCAGCGATCAGCGGCGCCTGATAAGTTCGCCAGTCAAATAATAATTATGCAAACATTTCGGGCCGCTAATTTGCCGCCTATCTTAATTTAAATCGCTCAAAAGCGCACTGGAACCAGCGCACAAAAAATTGTTTAATTGTCGTGACATGACAATAAGCGACCTGGAAATTAGGGTCCCTGGCTCTCCTTTTTTTTTGCGTGTGGCTTGATTTTTGGCGATGATAAGCGAGGGGAAATTATAGGGTATGCAAATGCTCTTAAATTCGGTCGGTCGCGTGTCCTGGATCAAGTTTTTGTTCGGGTTTGCTTACAGCTTGAATTCCTTTTTAACACCTGCAATTATGGTCAGCAGGGAGACAGTTTATGATAACATATTTGTTGTTAATTTAGTTAATTAGTGCCACATATGTTAAGCGGATCTGAGATAGCTAGGTGGCAATTGCAAATGGGTGAAAATTCCACCGGAGCACAGGTTATTGTGATTTAAATTAATTAATTTAGAAAAAACTATGTATATAAAAATTGAATTAAAAGAGGTTAGATCATTAAGAAATCACAGGTTTTAAACAATGAGAATAATGATAATTATGCATGATTAAAGTAGGCAGAAAAATGAAATGAGAATAAACATCTATAAAAAAGCAAACTAAATTCCAAAACATTTAAGCACGAGCATGACACCTGATTGGTGATAAAAACAACAAAGCTCGACGAGGAATTCTATCTGGTTCTCATAATGTCCGAACAGGATAAGAACGGGGATAACGACTCCTTGGACGAAGAGCAGGATGACGAGAACCGTGAGGCACTTAATTCAGTCAAAAGCGTTGAAGATATCTGCAAAACAAACGTTTCGAAGAGTAATCTACAACTAAGCCCTAAAACTGATCAGGAAAAGGTTAAATCTGCTCCGCCGACAACTTGCTCTATAGCAATCCAAGAGTTAAATAATTTAGAGATGGATTCAGATAGCGATTATACTGGATTTCTCGAGCAAATGAATGTTCGTTAGTGAGTCGGTTTAAGTGTATAAACGGAATACTTGTTTCTTAAGTTAACCATCTTAGCTCTCAATTTCGGATTGCATCTGGCCAAAATGTCCAACAAACAGGTCAGGGAATGGACTACAGGGACTATAGCTTTAGCGAATGTAAGTTTACATTTGATTCATTTTGTATAAATAATAATTGTTCTCGGAGGGAAAAAATATACCTTAAGTAATTAAATTAGAGGAAAGGTCTAAAGTTTAATTTTTTAACAACAAAAAAATTTCCCTTATTAGTAAAATTCATTTTTAGTTTAAAATATTAAAATAATACTATTTTAGATCCAGTTGGCTACCCCTCTTGCAGTTGGGAATCTTCCGAGTTAAATGGTCAGGACCTGACTTCCCAGGTTTCTCTTGGGCAAAGTCAGGTGGAGACCCCGTCCTGTTCGAATCAGCAAACCTCTCAAAGTAATAGCTTTTACAGCTATGAGCGACCCCTTCTGGAAAATGGCTCAGGATCGAATGAAACTATTGTCAACAAGCCCAGCACACCTACTTTTTCTGCCTGTGGAAATCCTGGCCTTGTCAGCAAACCCAACACACAAACTGCAGCTTCCTGTGGAAATCCTTGCTTTTCACAAAATTCCAACGCTTGTTGCTACCCGATGGGACAACCTGGTCAACCAATCAGATATTGCTACTCCGAGCAGGGGAATCCCGGCCAGGAGCAACAGCTGATGCCAACGCCCATAGGCGTTGATCCAAATACGGGGTTTCCCATCTACTATTATTCAAGTGCAGTTAGTTATCCTGGGAATGGAATGTATTCCATGCCACCCATGCAAATGGAGCGAAATCAACGAGGCGGTGGTCAGCATAATATGAATATGGACAGCACATCCAAAGCTGCTTCTTCATCTTCTGCTGAAAATGCGATCGATAGTAATGTCGCTTCAAATCAGAATTCAGACGATATGGAAACATTTATGAAAAAGTACCAAAAATGTATTAGGGATTACTATGCTTCTGCACAACAAGGTAAAAATGATCTACAAGTAATTATAATCAAACTTTCAAGTAATTATGATCTTACTTTCAAAATCTCAGGCGTCCAAACTCAGCAGTATTTCAACAACTTTTCTCAAGGCACTCCACAGTATTATAGCAACCCTAATGAAGGTAAAAATGTAAATTAACATCGTTTAAAATATATTATTTAAAATCGTTTTGAACTTATGTAGGTAATCAGCAAATGTATTGTAACAGAAATCAAGGTAAGCTATATTTAAATTTAATTACTAATTCGAAAGTGAATTTTCTTGCAGCTGGTCATCAGAATTTCGAAGGCCTAAATCAAGGTAATTACACACACTAATCATTTAGCATTTCTTAAAATTTTTAATTTTTAGAAAGCCAACAGGATGTTCTAGGTGCTCGCCAGTTCTTTGAAAGCTCAAGTCAAGGTAGTCATCAATCAAAAATCGACTTTCCATTTTTAATGTTTTTCATTTATAGAAAATGGGCAGTCTTATCAAATGGGTCAGCAATCTTTTGGTTTTCCTCTGGGAGCTCAGCAATATTATAACAATTCTGGTCCGGGTATTTTTAAACTTTTATCATTAAAAAAGTGACGATAAATTACTTTACAGGTGGTCAACCATTCTTTCCACCATCGATGGGAACTCCTCGCTCTAATATCTTTGGAAATAATTCCGGCTTTATGAGCGACTCTCTGCAGACCCAAACAGTTTACTCCTCTGACTATAGACCATTTTCCAACGAGGGCAACCACTTTAACCACTTCCCCAATGGCATAGACATCGGCTTGACCCCCGAGCCCTGTCCCATCTACGGACCAGCTGCAACCGCTGGCCTGGCTGAGATGGGCACCGGAGGTCAGGTCTATGGAATGGGAGGTGCCTGTGAAATGAACATGCCCTCCTTTCCTCTTAGTCAAATGAGGTAGGATCTCAGCACCTCGTAATAGCAGTACTGCAATTAATAATATAACTCAATTCTATATCGCAGTTATTCAAGTCCCTATAGCTTTGAGATGCCTGCATCTATGGCTATCCCTCAAACTCAAGTTGGAAATATGAGTGGTGCAAATCCCAGTAAGTAAAGAGAAGAATATAATTTATTTTCCTTTATGTTTTTGTTATCTAATTTTTTTATCTGCAGTGTGAAATTGCTGAAGAAAATCAACAAAATTCTTTGAGGACATGTGTATTTAACAATAAAAAATATTTAAAATAAAAATTTACAAATATTTTATATAAGTTTTAATTTCATTAAATGAAAAATATTAAAAAATTTTCTTTTTAAAAAGGCCGAATAATAACCAAAAAGATGTTTGGGGACATGTTAAATAATAGTGCTTTCAAAGTTGATAAAGATTTTAAAAGAAAAATTACAGACAATTAATGTTTAGAATAACAAAAATATGGTTTTTTGCATAAATTTATTGCACTTAAAATGCTGAACACAAATTACAAAATAACCATTATTCAGCCATAGGTCTACATTGCCATTTGTTGGAAATCCAATACTCAGAGCCATTAACCCATGGTAATGACTCAGAACAGAGCGAATTCCACCTTCCCAGAACCTGAACTTCGCATGGCATGCACTTAAAGTCAAAGCTAATTACAGTGAGCTAGTCTATTGATTTTAGCAGTAGAGTACACTAACCCGTGAAGGAACCCTCGCAATAAACAAACAAGCGGACGACATCAGTGACCCAGTTTTCGTGCAAAAACCAAGTCGGAAAAGTGGAAAGCGGAAAGGGGCCAGGCAAACAACGCCCCCGAATGCGAAAGGCCTGTTTGTGGAGCGAAAGTGAAACGCAATATGGCCACAAAGGAAGCCTCGGCCAGATTCTTGGGATGGGAGGGCAGTATCTGCATCTATATCCACTCGGTATGTCCAGGAAAACGAAAATCAAATATCAAAGTGCCGACAGTGAAAGCTTGCCCCGACTAATTGTTTGATGTTAAAGACCAGACCATTGAAGTTAAGTGAAGCTAAGCGAAGCCTTCTTGAGATTCTTGGATTGACATTTACTGCCGAGCGTTCATTAATCTCGTGATTCATTTTCCCAACTCCGAGTTAAACAACTCCAAACTATTCCCCGCTGAAAAAAACGTGTGTCAACACCCACAAAACCGCAGGAGGTTGTCTAGGGTCCACAAACAAAACGCGAGGAAAAGAATTTTCCAATGATTTATTTTTACGAGGCAACACCTTAAAATTGTAGAAAAGAGAAGTCATGAGTTTGTAACTCCTTCGGTCCCCGAATATGATTAATTGCCCTAAACGAAATTTGTTTCTGACCAGCGGATGAACACAATTGCGCTTCATTATCGGCATTTTGGCCAGTGACCATCAGCAGCAGTCAATTACCGGTCGACAGTCTCGTTTCTACTTTTTGGTTCTACCTACCAATCTGCGTCACTTTTCCCCACTGAACAAAAAATTTTGCACTAAAGTGTTCTACCAGATAGTACACCCAAATGGAATTTGCAGATGTAAAGGAAACTTTAATAAAAAGATTTAATTTTTGCATGATACTAGAATAAATGTATTCTTTGGTTACAATTTATTATACCAACAATTACGAAATGGAAAATGTATATTTTTTCTCCCTGTGCATTCCTCATCTATTGCCCGGGTGTTGTTGTCAATGTCCTGCTGCGCTATTATTTGTCTTGTGTGCGAGACTCCGACTCGGTATAAATTGGTTTACGCCACTTTTGGGTCATTAACGAAATTGAAAATAGAGACGGACATAAGGAGAGTATTATTGTGGAGGGAGTTGTGGAAGAGCTCGGAAAACGGAGACCACCGAGCTCCTATTAAATCAGTGCCACCTATTTTGGTAGTTGGCCAATCATTAGACACCAACGGTGCTTGAACTGTCGGGAGTCTAAAAGATATATATACTTCTCCTTGGGAGACTTTAAGCAGATGGTGGGCTTTACTTCAATTTATTAGCGTAAGCAATAGTTACTGATATGGCTTAAAAATGAAAATTGCTTACTTTTTTATAACTTCTAAAAACTTTTAAATAAATGTTTGTTGTTAAAAACTATATATATATTTATTTATGTAAATATATACTTAGTGTCTCACAATATAGTCTGAAAAGTCTTAAATTAAATAATAAATCCCTAAAATTGTCAACCTCATTTCGAAATCTAAACCCTTTTTCCTGCCAACGACTCAATCAAAATCGGTTAAATGAGAAAACCCACAAAGGAAATTATCTCCGCCACGAGAGCAACTCACTTCTAGCCCGGGGATAAACTGATATAATTTAATCAGAGGCACGACTTCAACTACCTACCCAATCGTCCAGACAAGACAATAAAAGGAGCGAAAAGGGATCAGAGCGAAAAAAAAAGGAGAAATCAAAGCGTAACAAATTCGCTGGGCAGGACTTTCACCCGGGGAAAGAAAGGAGAGTAAAGGACACGGATTAAAAGGCAGGCACGTGACTTCTGAGAATTGGAGTTCTTTTGTTTGGATTGAAAGCCGATTTACCCAGGGTAGCTCATAGGCATTTGCACTTCATTACTGTGAGTTATGATGGAACTCGGCTGGTCAAGCTGGTCCTCTCACAATTATGTCACCCCGGGCGAAAGTTATTATTAGTCGCCTTCCATGCAAATCGATTTGTTGTCTATCAGTCGATATTTCTTTTGACATCTGAAGGGTGTGACCAATTTGCATCGGCGAACCGGACACGCGTCGCAATCAGATCGCAGGGAGGGGATTCGCAGAGTTCCTCTATGCAAATGCATGAAATCAATAAATGAGCTTGGACATAGGTCAATCGTTTCCACTTAGTCAGATGTCCCATGGATGTCGAGTGCCTGCTTAGTCTGGGAACGTTTATTCCGGATCTGAAAGCGATTTTTTATGCTCTTCAAATAATCGATTGGAAGAGGTTTCAGGTATTGATGTCAAATGATGATTAATCGTCCAGTAGTCGTACAGTTCCAACAATAAAATGTTATTACAGCTTGAACGATATATTTACTATACTAACGTAAATCTTAATAACATATCAAAAGATCAGAGGAAAAAGTTTCAATTAGGTAAACTTAAATTCAAGAATTGAATTCATCCATTTCATCTTCATTTTATCTAATTTATAGCCCTCAAAGTCAGTCCATTTTGAGTATTTTTATGATATATGTCTGATGTTTAGAAATAAAAATAGTTTTCAGCAAAAAAAGGTATTCCAAACAACACATTGACTTTGTTACCTCAGCTATCCGATCCAGATGTCAAACCTTTAATCCCCTTTCTCACGGCTATCAGCTTGCCAAACTCTCTTAACGCACTTCCACTACATAAATTCGCTGGGATCGCACTTGAAGCATTGGCAATGGATATTGAACCCTTTGCTAAGTGGCAAACATCAAGGGAGCATCGCAGGGCGTTGCAAATGACGACAAATTATACACACCAACTGCTGGGCCTGTGTCTTCCGCCGGGTATTTACAAGAAATTTGCAAACAATATTGATTTCGAAGCGATCAAAATAAAAATTAATCAATGCACTTAAAAATTTCAAAAACACACATAAAGAAGCGAAGTCAACGACGTGGAAAAGGGGAGGGGAACGGAGGGAGGGAAACCCTTTTTTTTGAACCACCCCTCGGGTGACTTTAAAGTGCCCGAAGGGAACTTAACTAATTTATAACTTATGACTGCACGGCCATGGACAATTTTCCATGCCACTACAAAGGAGAGCAAAAGCCAAAATTTGACATGAGTAGCGGTCGCTTAACCGAAACCATGTGTAAACCCCTCTTAAAAAATTCAAAGTAAACCCCTTCAGTCGGGACATGTGAGTGTGCACATGTCAGCAAGCGAATTAATCGAAGAGAAATGATTTATTTAGCGCTCGGACAGACGAAACGCTCCGGTGACCCAGGGAAAGGGTTAGAACCCAATGCAACCCCTCGCGATTTCAGTTCGCACCCAAATCAAATTTAAACTGTTTTCAAAACTGCACCTCTTGGCTCATTGATGGGCATTTATCGGTCCAAAGGGTTGCTCCTGCATTCTGGTTACTTTTTTCTGTGAGAACTGCAATTTTTTATCCGTAAATTCACACTGCATTTTTATTAAAAATCCGATGAGGGTTTCTTTCTGTTGTGAGTTTCTTACTTCACAATATTTACGACTGCTGATTTGAAATGGTTTTTCTTAGCGATTTGATTGATTCGAGTGGGGATAGGGATTTGATGCATTCAATTTTCTGCAAAATTGCAATTAATAAAAAAGACAATAAAACCATAACAAAACTTGTGAAAAAATTGCAACGGAAGTGTTTACAGATAATGGGAATGGGAAAAACGTGAATCGAACGTTTTTTTATTTATAGCATTTATACAATCTTTTACAGCCAAATTATAGTTTGGATGTATTGTATGAAAGCCAGCTGGGAAACAAAAACGAATTTCTGTAAAAAAGAATTATCAGATTTTTGTTATACCCAGTCAGTTAATTTTAATGTTATTTCGCAGGAACTAAATTTGTTAGACCAGAAATATATTACGTAAACATTTCATGTAAATAGTCTTTTAAAAAATATATTGATATTTCGAACAAAGCTAACATCACTTTTAAATCCAGATTGCAAGCTAAATAGTTTTTTAATAATTATTACTGATGCAAATTATTTGGTTTTATTTTTTTCAAAAGCAAAGCCAGCTTTAAAATTTGGATCAGAAAACTTTATATTAGTCAAAACTTGGCCTAGCAAAAGTCAGTTTTTGGGTAACTTTCGAAAGTAATAAAAAAATTTCAAATTTTGTTGTGATAGTAGGAGGAGAAAGCAAGATGTCGAGCCTAAAGCTGGACAGCAAGGTGTTGCAGAACCTGAAGGACGTGGCCAACAAGCTGCGGATCCACTCGATCACGTCGACGCAGGCGGCCAAGTCGGGTCACCCGACGTCCTGTGCCTCCTTGGCGGAGATAATGACGGTGCTGTTCTTCCAGCAGATGCGGCTCAACCTGAAGCACCCCCGCGATCCCTCCAGCGACCGGTTGATCCTGTCCAAGGGACACGCCGCCCCCATCCTGTACGCAGCCTGGGCGGAGGCGGGCCTCTTTCCGGTGGAGGAGCTGCGCAATCTGCGGAAGGTGGACAGCGACCTGGAGGGCCATCCAACGCCGCGGCTGAACTTCATCGACGTTGGCACTGGCTCCCTGGGACAGGGCATCTCTGTGGCCGCCGGAATGGCCTATGTGGGCAAGTACCTGGACAAGGCGGACTATCGCACTTACGTTATCCTCGGCGATGGCGAATCCGCCGAGGGAGCTGTCTGGGAATCACTGCATTTTGCTGGCCACTACTGTCTGGACAATCTGTGCGTGATCTTCGACATGAACAAGTGGTTCTGTTCGGAAGTTAACCTCGAAATCGAGGTTTACCGGGAGAGGCTGAACGCCTTCGGCTTCAATGCCCTGGTTTTAAATGGCCACGACATCGACGAGCTGGTCAAGGCCCTTCAAAACGCGGCCAGCACGAAGGGCAAGCCAACCGCCCTTTTGGCGAGGACCGTCAAGGGAAAGGACTTTCTGGGGGTCGAGGGGATCGACGAAATGCACGGACAGCCGCTGGGAAAAAAAGCCGAAGCAGCCATCAAGAATCTACAGGTAGGGTTACATAAATTTTAATATACGTTTTTATGCATGAAGAAATACTCTTAAAATCCTCTCGAAACCTTTTCAAGATAATAAGTAAATATTAAATAAATAAGTAAATAACTAATAATTTGTAAAACAATATACATACATTTGTTAATCTTTGCAAAACAAAAGATCCCAAAACAAAATAGACATTTTACACACAGCTCTTATGCCATTTTATGTATTGGTCATATAAATTTCTTAATGTATATTTCTTAATGCAGCTTTGCTGCAATAAATAAGTATTTTGAATTTCTTCAGTGTGATTGTCTTCTTTTAAATTGCACTTGTTAAGATAATAACTAAATATTAAGCAAACATAATTTGTTTATTAGTATCCAAATATCTGTACAAAAAATAATAAATGAGATACATTCTTAGATAAAAATCTTTAATGTAGGCTTAAACGTACCACGTTTTTTAAATATTGCCCTTATCTTTTTTATTAAGTTTTTTTACGAAAATCTTACCACAATTTGTGAGGCATTCATGATCTTGCATTGAGGAATATTGTTTAACTTTTTTGCTACAAAGTTAGTAATTCCTTAAGTTATTTACAAAACATACTACTTTCGCTACCTGCAGATGAAGATCGCCAATCCCAACGTGCAACTGATGCCCAAGAAAATCGGAAAATGCGGCCACGCCGCCGAAGTGAACATCAGCAACTTGATGCTGTGCACTCCGCCCAATTATCGGCTGGGCGACTCGGTGTCCACTCGGTTGGCCTACGGTACCGCTCTGGCCAAAATCGCGGCGGACAATCCACGGGTGATTGCCCTGGATGGCGATACGAAAAACTCCACTTATGCGGACAAGATGAGGAATGCGTTTCCCGAGCGGTTCATTGAGTGCTTCGTTGCCCAGCAAAGTTTGGTGGGCGTGGCAGTGGGCGCCGCCTGTCGCCGTCGCACGGTGGCCTTCGTCTCGACCTACGCCGCCTTTTTCACCCGGGCCTTCGACCAGATCCGTATGGGAGCCATATCGCACACCAATGTCAACTTCGCGGGGTCCCACTGTGGTGTGAGCGTCGGGGAGGACGGACCCTCGCAGATGGGACTGGAGGACATAGCCATGTTCCGCAGCATTCCCGGGAGCACGGTCTTCTATCCCACGGATGCCGTGAGTGCGGAGAGGGCGGTGGAACTGGCGGCCAATACGAAGGGAGTGTGCTTCATCCGCACCACGTATCCGAACACCACTGTGATCTACAACAACGACGAGGTGTTCGCCGTGGGTTTGGCCAAGGTGATTCGCCAGAAGCCGTCGGACGAGGTACTCCTAATTGGAGCCGGGGTCACGCTGTACGAGTGCTTGGCCGCCGCAGAGCGATTGGAGGAGGACTGCATCACGGCGCGGGTCATCGATCCGTTCACAGTGAAGCCCCTCGATGTGGGCCTAATCGTGAAGCACGGAAAACTGTGCCGCGGCAGGATCGTCGTCGTGGAGGATCACTACCAGCAGGGCGGATTGGGCGAGGCGGTGCTGAGTGCCGTGGCCGACAATCGGAACTTCGTGGTGAAGCACCTCTATGTGCTCACTGTACCGCGATCGGGTCCACCTGCCGTTTTGCTGGACATGTTCGGCATCTCCTCGAGAAACATCTACAAGGCGTGTCTCGCCATTATGAAGAAGTGACATTGGTGGAACTTCAATCATCTAACCGAAGTGCCGAACTGTAAGTTACCCTGGTGCATCCTCACGAGACTTTTAACCATTGAGAAACGTGGATTCGAGCATGAAAATTATGACATTGTGTCGACTGTACCGCCATTGTTTTTATATCGATTTGGTTGAGAGTCTGAGTCAGTTAGGATTTCAAAGCTTATTTTTTTTATGAAATAAATTTACGGACCATAAAATGGAAAATATTGTGGGAATTTAGTTTTCGGGGGCTAAAATAAACCATAACATATCCAAATGTAATTTTCAACTGAATTAAGTAAAAAGTTTATCCTAAATCCGCAAAAAAAAAATCTTTCAAGCTACTCGCTTTAAATCGCGCTGTGTCAACTAACTCTTTTGACTTGCATTTCCTCCGCTAACATTGGCCACACATTTTTTGGTACTCTATCTGAACTAACAAGCGTAAACTGTGAAATGCGCTGTATATCATCAAAGTACGAAGTAAAATTCAATACGGCGAAAATCAATAAGGTGTAACTAATTTTTGGGATTTTACAGCGAGGATCATTGACTGCGTCGGCGTTGCTTTCGGTTTCGTTTTCCGTTTCGATTGTGATTTTGACATATTTATTTGGAGTGACCTTTTTCAGAGGCGCAGCCATTTAATGGCACCCCTCTCTTCACGGATGATACAGTTTTGGATGCGGTGTTTATGACTTCCTTTGCAGGCTGTTAAAATTTTCAGGTTTAGTTTTTTGAGTTGAGATTTTATAACTTTATAACTTAATTTAATTTCGTTTTATTTTTATTGTGACTAAGGTACGCTTAAATAGAATTTATACGAATATGCTTGGCAAATATATTTTAAAAACAATACTAGCGTATCTTTTAGTCGACTTACTGCACACCCGCACTTGATATCATTCGCCTGACCAAAGGCCACTTTAAATTATCCGTAATGACATCCGCTGCCACCCAATGTGGCATTCATCCATTCATTCATCTGCCTCTGTGGCAGCAAAGGTCCATTTATTGTTTTTCGCTTCCTAATCAGTACTTTATATTGTTTGTTGGCTTGGGTCAAAAGAACAACAGGATGTGCGTCTCTGTGTGGTTAAGGGTTGCCCAAGTGGACAAAGTATCCCTTCCGATTCGATCAAAATTTACGATAAATGCTTTAAAAATTCTATACACCTCAAAAACACAATGGAGGCACAGATAGCGGAAAAGGTTTTTCATTTTCTGTTAAGTGAGCATGGCTAACTAGATTGGTTAGAGATCATAAATTGAACATCATGAAAATAGATTAGATGACATCATATGTGGAGTGCCCTTTGTTCCTTCCACACATGTGAAGGAGTTGGACTTCTGATTTGGGGTAGATTTATGAAGGGAACCACTGCACCTGCTTGAAAGTCACCCACTTCAAACCACATATATCATTTAATGAGCGAAATCTGTGCCGCCAAATTTGTAAGCAATTATTTGCGGCAAAAAAGAACCCAGAAAACAATCATCAATCTCTGTCTGCAACGGTTAAAAGCACATGCATTTAAATTAGACATTTAAGCCAGTCTCCCCCGCCTGAAATACAATCCCCAAAATTTAAAGGATTCGAGGCATTAAAAACGTATAATCCACAACAAGGAAATACCCTTTTAAAATTATATTTAGTCGACTAAACTCTAAATGCTCATTTAAAAAATTCTAATATATCTGGTTTAAAATATACGATTATTGGCACTTGAACTCCTTATTTTTCTTGTTTTTATAATACTTCCTTTTTGCGTAAAACAAATATACCCAAAGCCCTAAAATAATGTTGGGTATTAAAAGAAAAGTGTCAAAAGCAAACGCTGAACACGAGTTGCACCCGGGAAATGCTTAATAGGATTTTTACAATTTTTACTATTTTCCTGTGACAGCTACTGGTTACCAGTCAGTCCCCCTTTCACTTTACACTTTCCTGCTTTCTCCTCTGTCGTTTTTTTTTTAATTTTCCAAATATTTTGCATTTTACGGAATAGAAAAGGGGTTAGAAAAATGCCAAAAGAGCGCACCCCTGTGTCGCAATGGAAATTCTTTTACACTTTTGTTTTCCTTTTTCCTTGGCTGTTGTTACTCACAGGATATGGTTATTCTTGTCCTGTTGTTAGGGTTTCATGCACCGCATAACATTAAAATTCAGATTTTGATTGATCATCCTGGTTGAAGCGAATTAGAGGGTATGAGTATGGGGTAATGGATGTATAGAAAGTAAGGACTATATGTGAAAGATGAATAAAGAATGTTAAAGGTCTGATATGTGTTCGCAATAATTTAAGGCCATGTTAACAATGTTGTGAATTGGGCTCAATTCTTTGCTGGTTATGATAATAAAAATATATTGCTTTAAAATGATATTGTCATTTTACTAAAAATAATAAATTAATTTAAAGAAAAAAATGTAAGTTTATTTATTACTTTTATTCATCTAATTTAACATTCAGTTTGTCCCTGACGGCACAAAATAACAAGCAATTTTAGTAAAACAACTGACAAAAATGTATTTTCAATTTAAATAAGATTTTTTGCCCTTTTAGGAATCAACTACATTTGCATATCGTTGTGAATAAATAAATATACATATATTTTAATTACATCAGTCATGGGTAAACTTAAATTTCCTTTGCCAAATCAGCTTTAAAATATTTATACGAATGTTTATTTCTTGGAAGACACCTCTGAAGGGCGTCACGCTAGCCAAACTTTCCCAGGGAAATTGACAAACATTTCACCGAACTCCTTCCCTGCTTTCTTTTTTGGCTTTCTCACAACCTTCAGCGAAATCCAGCGAACCACTAAAATATTCATGAAACGGAGCGATGTAGCCTGCTACAAAAATTCGATTAACAACAAATGCATATTGATGGAATAATTGAGCAATTCTAATGAACCACAACAGCGGCGGGGCAGCATTACAAAAAAGCCAAACAAATTGCAATTGCCGATGGATGGAAGTTTTTCCAAGGAACCACAATATTTGCATTTGATTGACAACAAAGTTAATTGAGTGTGAGGCGAGCATTTGCATAGATCGGAGTAAAACAAACATTTATTATATTTAACTATGATTTTTTTAACGTTACTGAGAAACCCTTTGGGTGGTTCCGAGGGGTAGGGTCATTAATTCGCCTGACAAGCCTGAGGTGAGGTGACTGATGATGGGGTGTTGAGTCGAGTCGCGGCAAGGTGAGAGATCTCCCAGGCCTAAATGCCATTTCGATGAATTTATAATTGGAAATTATGTGAATTTTTCTATTCGGGATTTGCTTTTTTTCCCGTTTGCTCAAAAATTAGCATATTTTTTCGCTCTCTTCGGCAGATCCTTTGTGTGTGTATGTGATTTAATTAATGATCTTATGCAAAGTCTGCCTCCGTTTCTGTGATATTTTGCATACATGTGTTGGCAGCTAACAGCCGATCATTAATCAGGTCGTCTAAGTAGCTGCTTGAACTCATTAACCCTTTTGTTCGCCCAGACAGCCCAACGAAATGGCAACAAAAGTTTCGTCTTATATAAATATTTGCATTGACGCCAACCATGAGAACGGAATTTTCTTGCAGCGCAATAAATGAATACAAAAAGAATCACAAAAACAGATATCCTTATTAATGATCTTTTGGATGTCACAGGATCAGGACCCTTTTCCAGCTTTTCGGCACTTTTAATTAGTGGAAACCAGACTGCCAACAACCCCGAGCCTTAAAATCCAACTTTTCCGCAAAACCCCAACCCGCTGTGAATTCTTGCCCATATATCAAATATTTCTTATTTGCCTCCTATCAAGATGCCCATTAAGTCAATAAGTGGGCTTCAATATTATGCCATATTTTGGCAATTGCTAAAAAGAAGGAACTGAAAACGAAAAACAAAGTTTGGCCAAAAGTGCTGCCGCGGCAGACGTGGAAAAACTGCCGGCGATAAACACGAATAAAACATTTGAGGTACATTATGTCAGGCCTAAGAATTATTGTTACAGATTGTTTTCCCCAGATAAATCCTGAGTTATGGGGGCAAACGCAGCGGGTAATAAAAAACACTATAGAAAGCAAAGAATATTATAGAAATGTCTTTCTAATGGGGGTTGCAGATTGCAAAACGTTCCGAGTTGCAAAAGTTGGCAAGTCACGTAAAAAATTTCACATATTTAAACACATTCAAATTTTTTATTGGCCAGAGATAAAACTTATTTTCAGTCTGGCGAAATTATTTTTATCAAGAATTGGTAACCAATAGTTGTTTACAATTGTTTTAATTCCCATAATCCAATTAAAAAATTTTGTCTGGAAATCAAGTTGAAACAATTATAAATATATTTTGAGCTATATAACACCTTTATATTGCATGCGCATTCCAAAAAACAACATAACGCACCCCCTCTAACTTTTAATAAAAAACATATGATTACGTTTCAATTATTAAAACGAAGACCATGAATTATGCGGGTGGACAAATAGTTAGCTCCAGCTTAACCCCATCAAGCCGCAAATTAGACCCAGGGCGCTAAGTCACGCGAAAAGAAAAATAACGAAGTTTGTGGATAAATCAAGTAATTAATTGTTTCGTAATTCGCTTGTGTGTCCAAACATCATTAATATCTATAAGATTTGACGAGGCCCAGAGCTACCGCAGAGATCTTGTTGGCATTAACCCACCACTTTGACTTCTGGGACCCGCATAAAGCCTTAGGGCTTGGGATTCGCAGCCAATTTCAATTAAACGCGCGCATTAAAACACAGAAACCGAGTTCACGGCGACTTTCGCACTTTGTCGTCTCCCCGACAAATTGGGATAAAATATATATACATAATGGCATGCATGAATCATTAATAAAAATCATAATAAAGGCGTGGCGAATGACGTCACGTTTTCGTGATTAGCTTCGTTGGGAAGCCAAAGGATTGTTGTGGGCTGCCTGGGTAAAAATGTTCTTAATTAGTTTTTCTTTCCATCTAATGCATTTTGATGGTTGGCTGAAAGAAAACCCGAAGGAAGTGTGGCAAATTTGATTAATTAATAAATTGGGAGCTACTGTGTGTATATTCCACATTATTCGAATTTGCCAATAGAAAGGTTCTACTAAAATCATAATTTGTACATAGGAACTTTGTAAATAAAATTCAATTTTACAAAATAAAATCAAAAATTCATCAAATTAATTATTTATAATACAAACAAATTGTTTGTTTCTGCAATAAGA